TTGTGTTCGATGTGCGTAATGAAGGAATCTGAGAGGATGATGAAGGCCTGGAGGCATCGAGCAACGGCGGAGCAAATATGGGCAAGTACCTGATTTATCATTTGTCATTTATAAAATCATTTTCTAAAAATTGTATCATTATAGAAGATATACACATTTGATTGAAGAATTTTATCTCACATTTGAAAAAAAAAAATGTGAAAATTCATGAACGTAATTTTTGAAATACCTATGTTTATTTTGAACGCTGCTTTAATTGACATATGTTTGTATTTTTTAGAATTAACTTTCTATAAACTCCGCTGCTACGCATCAGATCGGTGAGTCAAATCGTATCCTATTTGAAGTTGTGAAAGTAATAGAAGTAATAGAAGTGTGTGAAAGAATATTACCCACTAACGTAACATTTCACAGATCCATCGTTTTAAAATAGAGGAGCTAGGACAGATTAATACTAAAAATATTTAATCTTGAAGTATATATAAGTAATTAAGTATCTATTTATAAAATAAAATATAATAATTAATATATTAAACATTTTAGAAAACATTCAGGAAACTATTAAAATATAATATATTAATAATGTTAATTGTGCAATTTTTTAGTATATATCATAACTGAAATTTTTTATTTACTTTATTGCTTAATTGATTAGTGAAAAGTAAATCAAGTAAATATAAATAAAGCTGGAAAAATTGTATTTAAAATTATTAAATTTTTTTTCTTCTTTTTTATTTTTAAGAAAATTTAAATAAATAACATTTCTGATCTATATTTGGTTTACCTATATTTCAAGATTAAATATTGTACGAATTGGTGCGAAAAAGCAATATGTATTCGGATATATTTTCAATATTATACTGCAAGGATAAATAAGCAAAGAACATAATATTTATATTTATTTATTATATCTATTTATATTACTTTATTTATTTACAGATATTTCAGTTTGGTAAAACGTACGTCAATCATATATAATTTGTCTTATCTAATTTATTCAACAAAAAATAATGGTGACTAATTGCATTTACTCTGATAATACAATATTATTTTAATCTTTCCTAATCATCAGTAATGTTATTTTATTAAATAAGAAAGAGAAGGAACGAAAAAGTTTCTATGCCATGAATAATAGTATATACAGGGTGTTTCCAAATTAAATCGCAAAACTTCGGGAGCGTGTAGAGGAGTAAAAAACTAAGAAAAAAAGTCCTATAGACATATGCTCGTT